TTTTTGTATCAAAATATGTAGTATTTGGCATATGCATGATACAACAAGCTTCCAACATGCTGCCAATATGGGCCTAACGCATGTTGAAGACGTCATTATAGTGCCCAAGTAAAAATAATAAATAATTAAATGAAATAAATATTAAAAATGCGCATCAAGTGTTACGTGAAATAGTGATGCTAGAATGGCATAACTCCATAAGAGTGGAAGACTAGTAAGCTTTAATTTTGAAAGAGACAAATGAAGATGCCTCTAACAATTAATTTGTTTGGTTTGCCCCTTTTGTATGATGCTTGTTTTACGTTTCTTTTACAAAAAAAATAAAATTTATCATTATAGGAATTAGACTGCATGCATTTGATGTTTATTTCATTTGTGCAATTATTATTTCATACTTTTGTTTCAGTACAGGTTGTTGTTCTATATTTTTAGTAGTAAATGTATCACATATTTGTGTCATATCATACTAGTGTCCCTGTGTCAATATTAGAGCAGCTTGGGCAAGAAGATCAAGAAATCAATCAATGCCCAGCAACAATTATAATACTAAATCTAGCAAAATGAGTGGCTACATTGACGAAATACATGATTAACATGATGGTGTGGGTACAAATACAACAGATGTTACGAGTAGTGGGCCAAGTTGCATTCTTCCTCCCATACAATTATGCAAATATGGTTTCAGAGTATGCAAGAGAGGATATAGCTACCACTAATGAAGGAAATTCAAAGTAGAAGCCAAAATGGAGATTATTGGAGACACATTATCACGGTGGAACACCCATCTAAAGTTGATGGCCATCAAAAGGTGACCAAGGGATATCCAAGCAATTGATACATCGAGAGTTCTATTCGATGGAGCATATAGATCAATGGAAAGTGGCATACTTTGAGATAACACTACGGGCTATCATTAAAGGAGACTCTGTAGAGTTCTAATGCGAGACAGTCACTTTGGATATTTGAGTTTTCCCTCTCTTGAACCGATCTCCCGCTCACCTGAGGAAAAAAAAAATTCTCTTAAAAACCCATTTCATTCCTTAAACTCTCGCCTCATCAATTTCTTGCGTTATACCCTCTCCTCTATTGCCTGTCAGATCGCCAAAAGGGAGCTTTGCCTCATTGCATGTTGCTTCGATCTGAACTGAGAACAAGAGCTTGCGTGAACGAAGGTAACATCCTACTTCACCTTGCTATCTTACAACAAGCTTGAAAAAAGCATGGATTATGTATACCATCTTGATTTCTTCTTCATAGAATGAGGACAGCACACTTTGGGGGATCTGTCGGTAAATCCAATAGAAATTTTAAACCAATTGCAAAAATTTGATTAAGTAGGGAAGAAGAAGACTTACAAACAAAGAAGCTTCATAGTGTATTGTTGATTTCTTCAAAGAAAAAATGGTATTTAATTATTTTGTAAACTCAAAATTTTATTCTGAACAGATATATTTTTTATTTTGATAATTTAAATTTTCTTTGACAAAAAGTTTATGAATGTGGGGTCAATAAATTGTAGTTATGTATATACCTATATGCTCTCATTTGTGAGCTTTTATTTCACATCATTTATCTTTTTATACTAACAACTTTATTTTATTTTATTTTTTAAACCATCAATATCGACCCCAAGCATAAATAAAAAAGGTTGAGAAATTTTTAAAATAGATAGTTTGTGCCCCCACAAGAAAAAAAAATCCTGACTCCACCACACGCAATGACTCATAATGCGATGCGGTGCACCTCGAGCTTCATTTTCATGACAGGCATGGGGAGTTAAAATAGTGTGTGCTAATAGCATATAATGTGTACCCCTAGTAGCGCGCACTATTTTAATTTATATGATTTATTATTTAAATTTAATATTAATTAAATATATAATTTATTATTATTTATATTTGTTTCAATTTGCATTTATTAAGGCATTAGGGCATCGAGACGGTCTCTCAAGGCTCACAATTATTGGCTTTGCTTCACACACGTGCACTCGAGGGCTCTTAACTTGTCGAAGAACAATGCTCTTGGTTTTGACGTATGCTCTTGCCTTCGACTCACTTTCAAGCTTTGCTTCACGCTCGTGAGTTGCAAGGTCCATAGCTCTCAGCTTTAACATTTTCGTTGCTCGCCTCAGATGAAGGCTTCAACTTACTTGTTTCTCTTGCCTCGCACGAAGGCCATGATGTTCTCGGCGCCATACCTTCAACACTCGAAGCTTCCAAGGCCTTGACAAAGGAGAAGTGCTCTTGGCGATGTTCTCACTGCTCTGGCCTTGCACGTAGCCTTTGCTCTTGCCTTGCATGAAGGCTATGACATTCTTGCCATTCTTCTTTTTATGCACAAAGCTTCCAATGCTTTGACTCTAGGCTAGCGTGCTCTTGACATGAGATTTATCTACAGTTTGTTCATGTCCATTTTTTATTGGTTTAAGTTGTCTCATGAGTTATTTCCCCATGTATTTTATTTATGCTAGCTGGTATATTTTATTAGTATTTTATATTTAATATGTTCGATCCTATTTTGATTAGTTAAAGTTGTATGCACGAATTATTTTTTTCACATATTTGGTGCATGTGAGGTGGTGTGTTTTATTAATATTTTATATTCAAATGCCTTATTTAACTATATTTTTTATTATTTTGTGTTATGTTTAAAATAGCATGCATTATGTGCTGTGGCTCTTCAGAGACCTTTGCATTTTGGTGTTATTGATCTTTGATAAGTATGGTGATGCAAATTTATAACCTGATAAAGGAACGATACACGCCAAATTTATCGTTGTATGAAAACTTGATCATTAAGATACACTCTAACAACATGAAGATGATCAAGGAGTGGTTAAGGCATTATAATTATACAAGTGTACCTTTAACAACTTAGACATCCGGAAGGAGGAAAGTTTATCTTTTAAAAGAGCAATGGGGCAGTAGCTGCTTAAAGTAGATAAGCGTCCATTATTGAGGATGAAACTTGAAGCACTCTTATGCCAATTTAAACAAGAAAAGGCTAAGAAGAAATTAGTGCCTGTCAGTTTTGTTAATTTTAAAAGAGGAGATACTACTATAAAATAAGTCTCAACAAACACACCCAAGGTATGACTTTGGGATTTTGCAAGCATTACCTAAAGATAAATTGCTATCAAAGCTTCTTGAACTTGGAAGCTCTCAAAATAAATTTCAAAAAATGTTATAGAAATCTCCCAAAAATTTGTCGAACACAATAAAGTGGCATAACTGAGAGATTGAAAAGTTAGCTTTCACCTACCTAAAATTATGATTTCAAGGGAGTGAAATCCCCTTAAAATGGGGTCCGGGATCTGCTATCAAATATAGTAGATGATCAATGAGATCGTTTATGATCATAATTTGGGCATCAGATCATGGAAATATCCAAGAAATTGTGTTTGTTGAAGTTTTAACAATTTTTTTAATTAATGAAGTTTGTTGGTGCTGATTTTCATATTGGATTGTTGAGATCAAAGAGAGCATCATCAGCAGTTCACCAACGAAAGTGATTTGTTAATGTGAAGCCTGGTGATCAAGATCAAAAGGCATAAAGTATAGATCATTGGATTAAAATTTTGATTCAATAGGATAAAGATCTAGAGTAATTGATATTTGGTGCATAAATAAGTCATGACAAAGGGTTATTTACTATCACATTTGTCTTATAAAGTATGCTTGGACATCACATATGCTTTTTTCAAGTTTTGTCCTTTTCTATAACATTAATTATAACTTTATGATTGATTATAGCATAACATTTTGTTTTCGTATTTTTTTCATGCAAATTGCCACAATAGTTCTCATCAAATCTGATATGTATATTTGTGTATAAAGAAGTTGTAGGACATGGAAGATAGTTTTTCTTACATCTACCCTAATAAAATATTAAGTTGGAGAAACCACAAGATATTGAGTGGACGTTCTAAATTTTTGAATTTGACCAATGCATATAAATTACTTTTTTTATATAGCATAGAAAGTGGCATGAACTATGTTAATCAATTGATGACACATTTGTTCCAATATCGTATAGTTAAAAAAATTTGTTGATGTAGAAATATTAAGTAGTTGACTTTAACTTAAATGCTTAAGTTTTTGGATTGAAAATGGGTTTAATCATTGATATCTTGCCCAACTTCAAATCTTTTTGTCTATGCCAGTCATTTGGGATAAAGTGTTTCATATGATTTATGGTTCCAATGGGTATTTGGTTATCTCTACCATACTTAAGGCTTAAGAGTGAGCAACTGCATGAAGTTTTCACATGATTGAGAAGCTCTTGGTTCATGCTACTTCATGGTGTTAAAAAATTTTCATTTAATGGGAATTGATGTTTGATCTGGAGGGCTCTCATGTGAGGGGGAGATTATTAATTCTTGTTAGAATATTGGGTTTGTCCCTCATCAAAAAATTGAAAAATATGTTGGTGTAGAAATGCAAGTGATTGGGTCTCACTCATAGATTTAAATTTTTGCTGAAAATGAGTTTGACCATTGGTGCTTTTCGTCCCCCTTTGGTTCTCTCTCTAACGGTTTTGACTGATGCTTAATGTTCTGTATTTATTGTTTCTCTCATGCTTGTTCTTCATGTCATACGTTAATAAGCAACCACATTCTCTATTTTTGTGTATCCTTCCAAGTTAACCCTAGTCCTTTTTTTTTTAAATTCAAAATCGATATATTCTTTTGCAACGATGAATTTCTAACTAGCATTACCACTGTTTTTGAAGTTCCCATTAATTCTTGTTGGACATCTGATGATTGCAATTGCTATTTTAGTAAAGTTTGATCTTTCCTATTTATTTACTATTTTTAATTTTGATATTCATGATGACATGATGTCTACTGGTTCAATCTTCATTTGTTGTGCATATTGCTGAACCCGTTGGCCCTGGCCAAATTAGGTGGAATGCCAATACTGTTTTCCATTCACTAAACTTTTGCATGTCTTATTATAGTCACCATTCACCAATGAAAATATGACATTTGTTAATTGCAGGATGACTTGGATATGTCTCCTGTTGATATTGATGATGCTCTAATGATTGAAGAAGATGACGTCTCAGATGATGAAGAGGATGATCATGATGAGGTAACTTGCTTTTATTATCATTTCGCACCAAATGATGTTTAAGGGTGCTGTGTGTTTTTAGTCAATGATTACTGTTATGGTTGCAGCTGTTCATGTTTTTCAGTTTTTACATGTTTGGTTTTGTTAAAGTGCTCACTGTGTTGAGAAGTGTAGGCTTTAACAAATGACTCAGTTAGTTTCTTGTCCTTTTTTTTCTTCATTTGTTTTCTTGAGAAACTGTCTTACCATCTTTTGTGTTCTCTCAGGTGCTGAGAGACGATTCTCTTCCTGTCTGTACACCTCATAAAGTGCATGATGTGAAATTAGGAGATTCTGCTGATGAATTGGCAAATGCTCCTTCAGCAAGTGACGGTCATACACAACTTCCTGCTTCTACGAATAAGATTGCACAAGCTAGAGGTTCGGAGTTGGCTGAATTGAGAAACATAAGCACACTTAGCTCAAGAGGTGCACTGTCATTTGCTGCTGCTGCCATGGCTGGGCTTGCATCTGTAAGTGGTAGAGGAATCAGAGTTGGTAGGGAGCGCCGTGGACTTCCACATGGAAGTAGTGTTCGTGAGCAGTACAATAAGTTGATATTCACAGTTGGCGGTAAACAATTGAACAAGCAGATGACTATATATCAGGCTATCCAACGCCAACTTGTGCTGGATGAGGATGACGATGACAAATTAACTGGGTCTGAACTAATGCCCACTGATGGAAGCAGATTCTTAAGTGATATTTTTACTATAACTTATAAGAAGGCAGATAATCTGGCTGAATCTGCTCAAGGAGTGTCATTATCCTCAGATAAGTCGTTAAAACCGGGTTCTGCTTCAAATTCAGGGTGGAAGCAATCATCTCTTCTTGATAGCATCTTGCATGGGGAGCTTCCTTGTGATATTGAGAAATCAAGTCCCACATACAACATTTTGGCATTATTGCGTGTGCTGGAAGGTTTGAATCAACTAGCTCCTCGTCTAAGAGTTCAAAAAGTGGCTGATGAGTATGCTGATGGAGAGTTAGCTACTCCGGATGAATTATATTCATCTGGTGCCAGAGTTCCTCCAGAAGAGTACATAAATAAAAAGTTAACCCCAAAGCTTGCACGACAACTCCAAGATGCTCTTGCATTGTGTAGTGGTAGTCTTCCTTCATGGTGCTATCAATTGACAAAGGCATGCCCTTTTCTTTTTCCATTTGAGACAAGGAGACAATATTTCTATTCTACCGCTTTTGGACTATCTCGAGCGTTGCATCGTTTGCAGCAGCAACAAAATGCTGAAAATACTGGTGCCGCCAATGAAAGAGAGGTCCGTGTTGGTAGATTACAACGGCAGAAGGTTCGTGTTTCAAGGAATCGCATATTGGAGTCTGCTGCAAAGGTTATGGAGATGTATTCAAGTCAAAAAGCTGTTCTTGAAGTAGAATATTTTGGTGAGGTTGGTACTGGATTAGGTCCCACACTAGAGTTCTATACTCTTTTAAGTCATGATCTTCAGAAGGTTGGACTTGGATTATGGAGATCTAACTCATCATTTGACACATCTGCAATGGAATTTGATGGAAAGGAAGCAAAGGAAGCAAATAATTATGATGCATCTGATGAAGAGAATACGGCTCAAAGTAGGGATTTTATTCATGCTCCTCTTGGATTGTTTCCTCGTCCGTGGCCTCCCAATGCTGATGTTTCTGAGGGTAGCCATTTCACGAAAGTCCTCGAATATTTTCGCTTGCTTGGTCGAGTGATGGCAAAAGCTTTACAAGATGGCAGGCTCTTGGATCTGCCACTTTCGACAGCCTTTTATAAGCTTTTGCTTGGTCAAGTATGCTACTTGAGTTTGAATCTACATTTTGTATTCCGATTATTTTGATAATTCCCTTTTGGATTTCATTGTTGGGATTTAGATTTGTGTTTCTCCGTGCTCTTGCAGGAGCTTGATTTGTATGACATTCTTTCATTTGATACTGAATTTGGAAAGATTTTGCAAGAGCTGCAAATCCTTGTTAGCCGGAAAAAGGTTCTAGAAACATCTGGGAGAGGCAATCAGAGGGTGACAACTAATCTTTATTTTCGTGGTGCTCCAATTGAAGATTTATGTTTAGACTTTTCCCTTCCTGGGTATCCGGATTACATTCTTAAAGAAGGAGAAGAAAGCACGGTGGTGAGTTTTTTAATCTACAGTGACATTTCGTCTACTTTGGCAATATGCTTGTATTATATTTTGCTTCTTGTTTGTAGGTTAATATTGACAACTTGGAAATGTACATTAGTTTGGTGATTGTTGCTACAGTTAAGACTGGAATTATGCGGCAGGTGGAAGAATTGAGAGCAGGTTTCAACCAGGTAACTTGCTACCCTTCATTGATTCTCTTCATATCTTCTTGATTTCAGTTGTAAGTTTATTTGTGTTTTCGGATGCACTTTTCGCTAGGGGAATACTATGCATTTGTATATTATGTTTTGTTTTAGCAGATCACTGGAACTTTCCAGTTAATTTTGCGCCGTGTCAATGTAGTTGTACGTTTGATTGTTGCTTTTGGTATTGATTGGAAGTGTTTTTACTATTATCATCAAACTTGGCTGATTGCTAGAAAACATATGGTGCCTAAGACGTTGGCCATTGGTATTTCCTCCCTTGAATATCTATTTTTGAACTTTGATACCGTGTAGACTGTTTGTTTGCCATCTGGCATGCAATATTAAATTTAGAGTTATAATAGCCATTTGGAGAAGGTTGGCTGAAGCTTCTGCGAAGTTTAGTTATATTTGAATCTTTTTATGACAGTGGTGCATTGTTAGAGATTAGGATACCATTGATATGTAGCCGCTTGCCAATCTTAAAACTTTGAGAATGGCTTTAGACATGTGTTTCTTAAGCTGTGATAATGCTGTGTCGTTATTGAGTTTTGCTATGTGGTAGGTGAGCTGCTTTGCAAGAGATTACAAACCTGATATGACTTGGAAGCAAAATCAACAAATTAGTTAAGAAGAAATTGCAGGAACACTAGTATGGGGGCTGATTTATGATTACTCCAATAATAATGAAAGATACAATTGATGTACTATTAGAGAGGTAGATCAGCTCTCTCATAAACCCTAACTGCCGCTTGGAACAACTTCAAAAAGAACTGCAACAAACACAATCTCATAATGAAAATAAAATAACCCAATTAACCCTAATATAATCCTTTCTACTTCTCTCCCAAATTTGAATTCAAATCAGTCCTTTTTCTCTAAATAAAACATTTCCTATTTCAACTAAGTCCTTTTTCCCTAAGTAAAACATTTCCAAATTCAAATCAATCCTCTCTTCCTGAATTAAAATCTTTCTAAACAACCCTTCATTTATTCCTCCTTACATAATGAATAATAGCTCCCCTAGGCCCCACAAAATGGGTCAATCCTCCCCCTCTTGCTGCCCCTGGTTCCGCCCAACCACATGGTTGGTTCGGCCTAGGTTGGGCCGACCGCCTGGACTAGTCTTGGCAGGCCTAACCGGGCTGGTTTTGGCTGGGCGTGTCAATACTCCTCTTAAAGTTGCACCTTATCTTCAATGTGGAAGGATAGGAACTGTCTCTTGATCATCTCGTATGGCTCCCATGTGGCTTCGTACTCCTTCAAATCCTTCCACTTTAGTAGTACCTCTTGTGCTCTTGTTTCCCCTCAGCACACCTTTTCTACTTTCAAGGGTTTCAAAATGACCTCCATGTTTTCTATTAAAGTCGGGGGTAGTAAAGACGGTGTGTGATCTTTTATCGCACGCCTTAGCTACGGGATATGAAGTATTGGGTGGAATGCTGACTGAGGTGATAATCTGAGTCGATAGGCCACTGCTCCAATGCGTTACAAAACTTCATAAGACCCAAAGTATCGTGGGGATAATTTTTCATTCCTTCTCCTAGCTAGTGTCTGCTGCCTATAGGGTCTCAGCTTCAAGTAAATCATGTTTCTTGGCTCGAAATGTACTTATCTTTTGTGCTCATCATCCTTCCTCTTCATGATCTATTGAGCCCTCAACAGATGTCTCTTGAGCTCTGCGTATATTATGTCCCTCTCTTACAAGTCTTGATCTACAATAGATGTTAGTGTAGTGCTATGCCTAATGTTTAAAATTGCGCAATTGAGTATTGAGGCATTTTTCGTTCGTGAGACAAGGCGTAAGCCTCAAGGCGTTTTGAGGCGTAAGCCTTAAAATTAGAAAATTATTTAAAATCAAATTGAATATTTTTTTAATGTAATAACCAAATAATATGTTAAAAGTGAACATAAAAAAATAAATGGTAATATTTATGAGTGGGAGTTTATATAAGTTAAGGATTTGTAGGGAGATTTTAGATTAACAGGTAACCTTAAACAACAAATCTCTATAACTATAAGGTGGCGAAGTGGAAACCTTATGAGCCTTAGAAAAAACAAGAGAGGATGAGGGTCAGGGAATTTAATTGAAGGAGCCAATCAAATTAAAGGCTATTCATAATTCTTTTAGTGTGTCTGATGCCCTAAGCATCCTTCATAAATTGAGTTGAGCTCAGCCTTTTGGATTAACTAAAAATTTATTCAAAATCTTCAAGTATGCAGTTGCATATTTGGGAGAATATATTTTTATATAATTTTACTCCCGTTAGACTTTTTCCTTTGTGGTCCATTCATTGCTTCTCAACTTTATTTATTCAATTTTTTTTGTTTTCTAGCTTGGACACTTAAACCCGAATTTCATTGATAGCCAGATCAATATAATTAGTTTAAATGAAATTTTACAATATAATTAATTTAATAGAAATCAATCAATTACTAACTTATTTATCCTTATAATTTTATGTTTCTCATAGTTCATTCGTATCAAAACTACATTCAAGTTATGAAGCTTTGTACAAATAATAGTTGCAAGGTTTGCTCTTTCTTTAATGTTTCCCTTCCCATTTACTTTCTTGTTAGAATATAGTATTATTGTTTTTCTTACTATATTTTGCTTAACCTGTATCCTTAGTCAATCTATAGCAACTCTATTGAAAATTAGATTTTGTTGTTTTATTGAAAACTTCTTTTATCCTCATAAAATTGATAGTGGTTTCCTATGGTCCAATCACAATTGGGTTGTTATAACAGATCACTTCCTAGTGATCTCTTCACCAATTTTGCCTACTTTTTCATGATAATAAGGTTAAGTTGAGCATATGAAGTTCTAGTAAACTTTCATATTTTGGAACACGACAAAATGTAGATCTGTCCCGTAAAATTTGGGTCTATATTGGCACAATTTACATGAAATTCAATTCATATTTTGTAATGTCATTTCTATAATTTGATTTTAGAAGCCGAGACGAATCTAAAACTTTTGTGATCCAGGCCTTACGCATGTTCTATAACACCTAAGTTTACTGTAATTTTTTATTAATCTAATATGTTCCATTGCTTGTAATATACGTGAAGAAAAATAAGAAGAAAATGTGGGGAAGTGGGACTGGTCATAGTTGAACTTATTTTTAATTCATTTGACTTTCTCACAATTTTGGGAGGGCTTGGGGCTGGCAGTGGCCTAGCCTCTATCTAGATTTAAGAAAAAAACTTATATAGCTGAGTATGATATAGAGGATTTATTTTATAATCCATTATATTTATGTAAATTATAGAAGCTTTTGTGCCCCCTGAATTTAAGGTAAACCTTTTCACTCTTCTCATTTGAAAACTTGTTTCTTCCATTGCTTGTTGTTTGGCCTATTGCATTGCATGTATTATTTTAGTAGTTTGTAGCATAGGCTTGTTCTCTAATCAGTGCACTTTTGTTTTGGCATTTCCTGGTGTTTTTTGGACAATTGATGTGTCCATACTAAGCGTTTCCAAGAGATCAAATCAATGATTAGTTATAGCGATTGTTAGCATTAGTTCCAGTTTAATTCATTGAGCAAATATCTGTTTTCTTTCGAAGTTTTTCATTGTTGCACCAAAAAAAAAAACATCAAAATTGCTGGTGATTTCTCTTCTGTGTTGTGCAAGAAATACTGGTGGTTCTTTTCCCTGGTAACCAAAGTTTTGTAATAACTTGTTTATGTAGGCTGACTGTATGATGCTAATAAGCAAGCCATATCGCATGTTTGGCATGGTTAATGCCACACTTTGTCAGTTAGTATTTACTGCTATAATGATTTTACTTGCACGCAATCTTATTATTGCCAATGTGAAAGAGCTGCTGTTCTTATGGTGTTTCCTAAAATACACTCAGGTCTTTGACATTTCCTCTCTGCAAATTTTTTCTCCACAAGAATTGGATCACCTCATCTGTGGCCGTAGAGAATTGTGGGAGGTAATTTCACTTTCTGGTCATCTTGTTTTGTTTTTTTAAAACTTGCAATTTTATTTTTTTGGCCTAAACCAATTGGAATTGATTGAATTTATGACTTTGTTGATCATAGCCTGAAACAATGATCGATCATATTAAATTTGATCACGGATACACTGTTAAAAGCCCTGCAATTACCAATGTATGCAACTTGTAGCTTTGACAGTTCCTTTGTTTTTTTTTTTCCCAAAATCATTGTGGATCAGCTGCTCATTTTATGTTGATCTTTTTCTTAGTTGCTCGAGATAATGGCAGAGTTCACCCCAGAGCAGCAGCGTTCTTTCTGCCAGTTTGTTACTGGTGCTCCTAGGCTTCCGCCTGGTGGCTTAGCTGCACTAAACCCAAAACTAACCATAGTGAGGAAGGTATTTCTATGTTATAGCATATTTCAGAGAGTTTGATTTATTCTACACATTAAAACGTTTTTTTTTTAAATAAGATACACAAATACATTATGAAATGTATTTTAAGTGATGAAATGCACTTAGCAATAAGAATTGATATTATTATTTTTACATTATGAAATGTATTTTAAGTGATGAAATGCACTTAGCAATAAGAATTGATATTATTTTTTTTACCTGTTATATTCAGTTTCTCTTTGTTTGATAAATAAGAACTTTTCAAATAAGGTTACTTTTCTTAACTTTTCTCTGCGGTTGCAGCATCCCTCAACAACTACAAATACAGCGTTAGCATCAAATGGAACAGCAATATCTGAATCAGCAGATGATGACCTTCCAAGTGTTATGACTTGCGCAAATTATCTCAAACTTCCTCCTTATTCTACCAAGGTCTCTATTAAACCCTTGATCTTTATTTTTTTTGAATTTTCGCCTCTTATAATATTTTGTTGGCCTTGCAGGAAATTATGTACAAGAAACTCTTGTATGCCATAAATGAAGGGCAGGGTTCATTTGATCTTTCCTAAACCAAAGGTACCAGCGAAGATTTAGCCTTGCTATTGGAGATGATTGCACATTTTTGCAGCCTCTGAGCCCCCGTAATAATCCTGGAATCCTGATTTCGTTCTAGTAATGATAGGCATTTATCTCAATTTAGCCTAACTTATTTTTTTCTTTTCTTGTCATCTCATGCGATGCAGGTGAAAAATAGATTACATAAGAGTTATTATTTCTTCAAATCATGGAAGGTTGGAAAGAGAAAAGGCCGCTCTATGAAAAAAGTCTGTAAATAAGAAACAAAAGTTTTTGTTTTGGTAATTTTCTAATTATAAGCTTGGTTGGGCTCAGCAGTAGCTACAGGTTCATTCTTCAATTTCATTTCTGACTTGTGAGATTGGGCTGATAGAATTTGGAAGATATGATATGAAATTAGAACGTTGAATCTTTTTTTATTGATCAATAAATTCTTTGGAGATCCAGTTAAATAAAGATAAATACAATATTTTATGCTTACAGTATAATGTGATCAATATTTTTATGGACAAAATTTTGTTCATTAGATTTTTATGCATCTACCATGCCCATTCTAACATGATATTGGACCAGATATTTTATCCCTTTCGATGGCATCTGAAGCAGCACCGCCCTTCTTTGTGCTGTGGTGGTCGCCTCCTTGCATGAAGCAGCTGTGGTGGAATAAGGTAACTGATCTTCACTGTTATGGCTGTTCATAATATTGTGAGTACTGTCAAAGCTTTGGAGTAACAAGTTTGCTTTAGCTCTAATTTAAGATTGAATTATTTATATTTCAAATTTTGATTGTTTTTATTTAAAATATAGGGTTGTTTCCCTTCTCTCACATTGAGGGGATCAATCATTTGAATATATATATATATAATTCATTTACTTAAATTACAAAGATTTTCTTTGGTTGGTTTTGTGTGTTTTTGGAGGACTTTTCAACCGGGCATGAAACAAATCTCTGGCTTCACATCAGCCTCTGAATGTAGAGAAATTATTGTGTGAAATTTGGATGTAGCTTTATATTTGGATTCTAATTAAATGAAGACACGGAGCTCTAATATGGCCCTACCTAGTCCATTTGTATACACACTGTATATAATTTATACAAAGTGGGTATACAAGAAGAATTTTTAAACTTTTTCGGTCAGGCCGGGTCATTGGATCATGCTAGAAAAAAATTCACTTCATTTAATTGAAAGTTCAAATGTAGAGATATGTTCTTACTCTGAATGTAATAATTTCTCTTAAATGTAGGTCCCATTTTTTTCCCAAGTCTTCATTCCCTTTTTTAATCTTTAACCCAAAAAAAAAAAAAAATAGATTTATAGACCTATTTGATGGCATGCAATCTATAAATGTATTATGCAATATGATTTTGTTATATTGATATAATCAGAAACAACATTTTTTTTTTTTGGTCTTAAACATAAAATAGATAAAAATAAGAAAAATATTTTTTATTAATTAAATGAACTTTAACAGGACCTTCAAAATCTGACTTGAATCTACAACACTTGTACATTAATTGATTCGACTTTGATACCTATTTGAATATGAATCCCATGATCGTTCAAAAGCATTTCAGATTTGAATGATTTTATCTTAGGGATTCGATGCTTGTCAAAAAGACCAATGAAAAAGTGAGATCCCTTTCATATCCTCTACGAGAATTTTAATTTCTGTAAAATACATGGTCATGTTTACAAATATTTACCGATTTGCTGTATATTTATTAAGTATTTATAAATACTCAATAAATACATAATAATTCAAATGATTATTTCCATTCAAATACTGCACAATAATTTCTTCTATAGCAAGGCATAAAAAATGCATGGAGTATGATCTAGAACTTTGTTTAGGAGAAAACAAGGTTGTAAGAACCACTCATTAGTTCAGGCAAATTTGATTTTTCATAGGCAACAGATAAATTAAACTGCCGATTTTCACGTTTCTCTAGGTTCATCTTCATTTATAGCTGTATTAATTATCTAATTTTAATTATAATTTAGTTTCAATGTAAGAAGGATAATAATGCCTTATTAATATTTATAATTTTTTTCTTCGTAAATACGTGATGGAGTTTCATTAGTGATTTTTTTTAATCAAATGTTTTTATGATTTAATTTGTTGATCTTTTATATATGATGTACTCCTTCAATATATTTTTAGCAACAATAAAATAAAGTAGCCAGGTTCAGACTAAGGAAATAAGTTTTATCTTAATCTTTAAGATTTATATGAGCATATGACATGGTAAAGAAATTACCAAAAGAAAACCAATTTGATTTGGTGCTATATCAATAAAGCATTTGGTGGCAAAATTACAAAAAAGATCTGAGAGATGGATTAGAACTTCAAATGGTTCCTAAATTGTAGGATTGTTTGTTGAGTAACAGCTCAGTCTATAGAAAATTTTTTCTATGCAGACTCCTGACGGTGTTCGGAGACCAACAAGAACGCGCCACGACACTTTTTTGCTCGGTATCGGTGCTCGGTACCGCTCAGTACCAGATGACATGGTGCATTCTAATTAGTCTCTGAACCATGCAGTATCCGCAAAGAATAATTTCTCCAGTCTATAACATAAATAGAATGTAGAAATAATAAAAAGGATAGCTATGGTTTGATAATGTTGTGGTCATACTCTTCGATGATTTTTGTGGCAAGAATCAGTAGATCAACGAAGGCACTGAATGTTGCACGCAAAAATCTAGCCTCAACTGCTTCAAATCGCCTGAAGCACATAAACACGGTTGAAGTAAAAAAGGCATTAAGAAGATCCTTTACAGTTGCAGTTGTAATTTCAAACGTGCAATTATCACATTTCAGCCGTGCAACCTAGTTTGGAGGGCTGGGATTGAATCCAACAAAATCATTGTGAATTGCACGGCTGGGATTGATTCCAGCATTTCTGTTAAAAACCTCTTTTTTTGAACAAAAATGTTGGATTCAATCCCAATCGTCATCCAAAATGAATTATACAGTTGAGTTTCCAAAACTCAACTGCTATTGCGATTGTAGAAGATCTTAAACCAACAAGAGAAAATTACAAAACCATTTTTCATTTGTTCTTAATGAATGGAGATTAAATATTTAACCATCTTTAATTTGTTCTTAATGAATGGAGATTAAGTACTCACACTTTGAGTTTACCATCAATTACAGAGATCTGCCTCTTAACCTTGTCTGGTTGCAACTGCACATTTGAATTGGTGGCGAGGGGTTAACCACAAAATGATGACAGCCTACTTACCAAGAACCAAATAGTTACCTCTTTATCCACATCTAATGCCGCAAAGACAATTGCTGCATGGTCCTGTGATTTGTAATCTACTTCAAAGTCACTGTACAAAGTATTAAAAAAAATATCAGGCTAACATGAAAACGGCTAGAGGATAGTTTGCTTGGATGTGTCAAAAGTAATTGTAAGCATGTATTTACACTATAGAATGCTAATGATTACAAGTTTTAATCATTGGAAAGGCTGCCTAGTGTATTATGTTGGCATGCTTGCAAAAAAGTGCATGGAAGTTTTGTGTATAATTGTGTATAACAGTTATTATATCTTTAGAATGCTATGCACAACTTTATACATAAAAAATGATAACTTTTATCTCGAAGTATATATACACAGTTGCATACATCACTTATTACCTCTTTAGAAGGTTGTAATCAGTTTTATATACGAAGACAATGGAAGAAATATATTTATGTAGATATGCTTTCAAAGGTGAGCCAATCTACAATTACGAATTTTGAAGTACAAGCCTCTTGACCTTTACATCTTCTCAGGGTTTTGCGAACAGCGCTGTTTCTGAATAGAGCAGTAGCCCATTCCCGTGTGCACGATCTGTGCCTCGATCAGGCTTATGCTCTCGTCGTTAAAAGGAAAACAAGACGAAACTCGTTCGCTTCTTCCTTCAACACACACGAGTATTAAGCCCTCGATTTCCTCTGCCGAATTTCACTCGATCAATGCACCCTAAGCCTTTCATCCTCTCATATGGCTCCAACCCCTGCATAGACCTCCAACCGAGCCTTCTGACTTCCACCCAATCCGTCCGAAATCCATAAGAAAAACTCTCACCCAGCCATTCTCCTTATATTGATATCATCCACCTTTCCCAATCACACACGAGCAGCTCTGATCTCTTCCTTGCACGTGATTATTTAGTCGTAGCCCATCTGTCAACCGGTCCTCATCAATCCCTCAGCTAATAGCACGCACGACTCGACCAACACAAAGGTAAAATCTCCCTATTACTTTGTGATCTTTTTATTAATTAATTGTTGTTATAATTATTATATGTTATTAAGAACAATAGTTATTACTATTATTACAATTAATCACAATAAAAATGATATTTATTATTATTATTATTATTATATTTATATATATATATATATATATATATATATATATGCATTTTTTCACTTGTTGTCGTCATCAACATAGCTGACATCGGCTCATGAAGGTATAACGCTCTCTAAACATCAAATCTCGTACTCGACACTCATGGCGCGCCGAGAAACCACCTATACACACATTTCTTAGTGTGGTAGGAGGGAACCTGATGCGACACTTACGGCAAGACGGGTAGACCCTGTACATGCTTTTCTTAGCGTAGCATGAACAAATTTAAGTACCCGTGTATGAGCTTCAGTGCCTGTGGGGAAAAAGTTTGCATTTCAAACAGGTACCTTTGAAGACTTATACATGTTTTTCTTAGCATTGTGGGATTGAAAACTACAATCGCGGTATCACCCGATACCTACCATACGCTTTTCTTAGTGTAGTGAGAAGGTCCAGCTTCCTAAAATTTCCTTAAACATGGAAGATGCCACGAGGCTGTCAAAATTTGAATTGAACAAAGGGGATGAACTTGAATCAAATGACAGTGGACTTAAATTTAAATGAACAGCAAGGAACAAAACTTGAACACTGACAGGGAACCATACTCTAAGTATAAAAAAAATGCATAATCATAACTAAAATACAAATACAACAACAACAACATCAAGCCTTTATCCCACTACGTGGGGTCGGCTACATGAATCATTTTTCTCCATTGTGTCCTATTAAAAGTCAAATTCTCATTTAAATCTAATAAAGAAAGGTCATTCCTAATATTTTCTAACCAAGTCTTTTTAGGTCTACCCCTACCTTTCTTAAAACAAGTCAAATCTAATATCTCTACTCTCCTAACCGGGTCATCGGAAGGCCGCCTTTTTATGTGACCAAACCATCTAAGGCAACTCTCTCTAATCTTATCTTCTACTGGAGCTACTCCAACCTTTTCACGTATATGCTCATTTCGTATCCTATCTCTAAGGGTAAAACCACTCATCCACCTAAGCATCCTCATCTCTTCCACACTTAACTTAGTATTATGCTTCTCTTTTAATGGCCAACATTCGGCACCATAAAGCATTGCAGGCCTCACTACCATCTTATAGAATTTTCCCTTAAGTTTGAGGGGTACATTTCTATCACATAACAAGCCCGATGCATTCCGCCACTTCAACCATCCAACTTGAATTCTGCTGATAATATCCCCATCTATTTCACCATAACTAAAATACAAATGTTGAACAATAATCTGGAACATCCACATGAACATCAATGAACAAAGCACAAAATAAGTGGAAAATAAACACTCAGTGCACACAAATGAAAAATGGCTTGTGACCTTCAACCTACCAATTTGCAAGTAGGAGCAAGTGATTCACAAACACTAACAAAGGACTCTTGATGAATATACTAATACATTGAAGAAATATTGGATTTGAAATGAACATGGTCCTCCTACAATCGACATTAATTAACTCATAAGCATATGCATCAGCCTCTTCTGAACACTGAAAGTCAGTATGCGATAAGCTACCTGTTAGATATTTGTTTCTAGATTTAGGTTTGCTTTTGTGTAGGTGTCTTGTTTGGCATGTATGACAAATTTTGTATGGCTTTTGTGCCTATATATAGGAGGTCTTTAGGCTTGTAATAGGCAGCCAAGGGAATAAAGAATTATCAGATTTTTGGCTCACGGTTCTCTCCTTCTCCCCTCTCCCTCTCTAGATCTTGCAAGAAGATCTCTCAAGATCTTCCTCCCTAGTCTTACAATTTGGTATCAGAGCCCTGGTGGCGATCAAGAAAGGAGGAAGGTGTTCTGTCAGAGAAAGGAGGTGGTGGCTGCCGGTGCCGAGATCGGAGGCGACTTCGGCTCGACGAAGGGAGCTCGGACAGGCGGGATCAGACGGAAGCCGGCTTTTGCATGCGGTTTGTCCGGGTGTGATCGCTGGTTGGATGCAGGCGGACGTGCGAAATCAGAGATGGCTTCTTGAATCGGGACAGATCAGATCGGAGGCGGACTGGAGCAAGGAAACCGGAGAACCTTGTGCAAGAGGCCGGAGCGCAGCCTTCAAGCAGGCGGGCAGGTCCTGCTCGCGGAACGAGACGGAAGGACGCTCGGTCGTGGTTGATTTCGCGTACAGGCGAAGCGACGACCTGTTGCCGCGATCTTAAAGTTGGTGAAGGAGTGGTATATGACGGACAAGAAGACGTTCCTTCGGGAGCAGGACACGGGCTGTTTGCTGTTTGGCCGAAATCTGGAATCGGCGTGAATCTCACGGAGGTCGGAGTTCTTTGCATGAAGAAGATCTTGAAATCAAGAGGGAAATTGGCACAGGTGGGATCGGCGTTACAAAAGCTTAGATAATGAAGCGTTCTTAGTAGAAACTTCTGTTGCATGGGCTTCAGGGAGTTTGGGATCAGTGGTTTCTTCATGGAATGGAGCATAGGCTTCTTGGTAACGTTGGGTTCTTGCTTGCGACTGTAGGCTTGAAGGGCTTGTGATTAATTCTTGGAAGGTTCGTTATATTGTAGCAGAAGATCGGTTCAAATCTTTAAAGAAGATATCGGATCTTCTTTGTGGTGGAGTTTTGGACTTCAGGTGGAGTCCGGGAGACACTGAGGTAGTGTCGGCTGTTCTTGGAGAGCAGGGTTGAAAGTGCGGGGCGCTTGGAGATGCGAGGTCGTGCGGTGCACGAGGCCGCATAGGAGAACGGGGCACTGGTGACGAGCAGAGAGCAGGTGAAGGCGCAGGGCTCGCTGCACGAGTGGATACGTGCAGGATGTGGTCGGTGAGAGACCACATGGGTGCAAGGCGCGGGCGCGGGGCTGATAGCGTTGGATGCTGGCTGGAGGCGCAGGGCGCAGGCACTGAGGCGCAGGGTGCTGGTGGATGCACAGGGCGTGGAAGCCGGGCTAGAGGTGCTCGGGATTGGCTGCGTTGGACGTAGTTCGACAGGAGATTTGTCGGGAGGTGGAGCTAGAATGTAGGTGGACGCTTTTGGCGGAGGAGACTGACGGAATCATTCTTTGGCTGTTCTTTAAAGAACAGTGGTTATCTTTTATTTTTGTAAAATCTAGGACCAAGGTGGAGATTGTTAGATATTTGTTCCTAGATTTAGGTTTATTTTTGTGTAGGTGTCTTGTTTGGCATGTATGGCCAATAGTGTTGCTTTTTGTATGGCTTTTGTGTCTATATATAGGAGGTCTTTAGGTTTGTAATAGGCAGCCAAGGGAATAAAGAATTATCAGATTTTTGGCTCACGGTTCTCACCTTCTCCCCTCTCCCTCCTCTTCTCTCCCTCTCCAGATCTTGCAAGAATATCTCTCAAGATCTTCCACCCTAGTCTTACACTACCTATAAGCATGCATAAAGAAGTCAATGGTGTTCACAAGAACATGCGACAAACACTAAAAGTTGATATGCAATAAAGGTTGCAATTTGCTAGCCAACATGCATAAGGACATGAGTGATGAATATAGTACATCCAACAACCAATGTTAACTTATAGAGAAACACACCGAACTCCGACAAACAACAAAGTTCCTTACAATTACACACAGTGCAACGTGCAATGAATATTATGACATCCTTTCAATCAATGTTAACTGGCTTGCTGATGCATGCGGTGGCCTCCTACAAACATAAAGCTAGCATGCGATGAATGTAGCGTCAGTCAACATACATGGGGAAATTGATGATGAATGTAAGTTAGCGTGCAGTCGATAACAACATGCAAGAAGACGAAATTGTAACGCAATAGTTCCCCTATGATCGATGTCAGCTATCTTGCAGATACACATGGCAATTCCCTGCAAACACTGAAAAACTTGTAAGCGAATGTAGCAATTCGCCAATCAGCATGCATAAGGAAATTAGTGGTGAATACAGCCTATCTGGTGGCCCAAATCAACATATGAATGAATAAACTAATTGGCTTGCAAACAACGAAGCTCCTTGCAAACATACAAGTTATAGCATATGATGAATGCGAATATATGCTGGCAATGATAGAAGATTTTTTGTATGCAAAATAGTATAACTACAAGTGGTAACCAAACATGCAGTGAATGCTACAACATTCCTACAACTAACGATGATTTAGTGCCAAGCAAATATAGTAATACCCTGCAAGTAGAGGTAATCAATATGCAATAAATGCAAGTACCTACGAGCCACTATAGGAGACTCGCCATGTATACAACATGCTGTTTGTGAGCAAATGCATAAGACCTTCATGAAATATAGGCACCTACGAGTCGTTGTAGTAGATCTCTGAATAATGTCTTATTCACAACCCAATCTGCCTTCTGAAAATTTATCTCGGAACATACTAGTTAAAGCTCTCCTCGACGACCCGAAGAAAGAAGAAAGGAGTTCACGGAGAGGCCAGGGCGTGAATATTCGGAGCCCACACAATAGCTAGAATTTTTCTGGTCATTGTATTCAGCTCATAGATTAAAGAAAGGTAACCCTATTTTTTAGTTACTCGGCTGAAAGCAAAACTAATGCGCCTTTGAAGTTTTGGGCGTCAAAATGATGCAACATTCACATCATTTGAGGTCCATGTATGGAGATGGATTGGAATTAAAGATATTCTATAATCACATTGAACTATCATCTGCATGCAAATAGAGATTCCTTCATATTAAGAATGACACAATGATATTAACAAGTCCAATGCATTTTCATAGGATCACTTGTTCAAATAAATTCATGTATTTTTATTTTACTCAATTCATAAGATTGTTAATAGAATGTAATGTTGACTTTTACATATCATTTCTACTCTTGATGCATATTAAACAATTATAATATATGAATATCAATGCTAAGCAATTTAAATGTTGATGATAATGATACTACATTAAAAGAAGCAAATGAGAGATATCATGCCATGTTAGGCAAGTTGATAGACTATGATGACTGCATAGGGATACAAAAAAATTCTAACAAGATGAGCCTCAATAGTGAAAAAGATAGTTTACAAATCTTGATAGTAGAAAATTGATACTACAGTTCAATTTTGAAATCAATGGACCATTGATAATTGTTATGTTGAATTGGTCAAATTTTATCAATAATTTTTAAGGTTGACGGGCCAAATGATAACTATTGATATAGTATATAGAATTCATATCACATAACAACATATTGAAATAAGATTATACACAATGCAAACTAAATAATTGGCAAAATAACTTGCAAACAATAGGAAAAGAAGAGTTAGAAAAATATGAAAAAAAATTACTAAAAATTGCGCTTCAATACAAAAATTTTGCAAAGTTTGCTAAAAATCTTGGAGAAAATTTTACAAAATAGAGAAAAAAGAGTTATTTGCTCTTATTAAAACTTGCTACACTAACAATCAAACACCCAAAACCATAATATTAACATTTTAAGTCCTAATCAGTTATGTTTTTATGGAAAACAAATAAATATCCCAAAAACAGGAAGAAAAAGCGGATCAAGTTAAATCATGATACCATGGAAACAAGTATCATCTGCAGAATATAAAAAATTGCAAATTTAGGACAGCGTAGGATGGACTTGGTGGTTCAAAGTTCAAAGTGTACAACACCATGCAGAGGGTATGCTTTCAATAGTTGAAGCTTAAGCATGCACTTTTAACCACTCAATATGGGAGTTGAGCCCCTCACCTCACACTCATTAGGTAAAATGTGAGGTGAGGACAAGACCGCAGGAGTAAATGCTCATTGGAAAGCATAACCACAACATGACTATACAAGTATTTAAATAAACAAATTTATAGTAGACTAAAAAAGTAGCAACTATTGCTTCAAATGGGAAGTTCTCATATAATACTGCATGATTACATGATAGTAGAAAACCAATGTGAATTCAGACTGTTAAAAAATAAAATAAGAAATTTCAGTGAATAAATTCTGGCAGCCAGCTTAAGTGAAAGGAGTCAAGCGTTTGAGGTACCAATAGCAATAACAGCAACCAAAGAAAAATCCAACAAAAACTACGTTGGTAAAGGTTAATGGAGGATCAGGAGGAAAATTCTATGCAATGAATAAAATGTAAAGGATTGATTTAGTGTTTAATACCAGAAAATAAATGTCAAGATTTCTACTTCTATCAAGTTTCTTGTTTTGTTATCATTTTATTTAGCCAAATAAAAGAACTCCAACTGATTCAACTTTTGTTGCAAACAAAAAATTGAAATTACTAAAGTTGATGTGGTTCTTCAAAGTTTCTACACATTATAGTAAAAAACAGATTTAATGCGCTTTACTAAGCCTCTGTGCTTCAGACAAAAAACTAAGTTCATTAACTGCATATAGCTGCACTTTCGAGCACGGAACTTCAATTCAACATGCTTTTGACAATGCTGGACACCATATATCAAAAAAGACAAAAGTAAAAGATCCATAGGCGATTTTACAATTTTCCTAGATTTAAAATGTGTTCACTAGAGCGAACATAACATTCTATGAAGGGACCAAGTCAAGTCACTAGACTATTTGAAAAGAATCTAACAAAACGGAACACGACAGTCAATTGGCGTATTGCCCAACAGAGTACTGAAAATATATTGCTCAAGTGCTTACGTAGTCCCAATAACTTCTTCCTATCGAGGCAAACAAAGAAAGATCCATGGAAAGTTAATAGGGGAATCAAAATGAACCTTTTTTTACAAAATTACACAAAGGAGTTAATAAAAGGCTCATGAATGGGGTTGGATAAGCAGGCTACTGAAGTTTCTTTGTTCGCCACCAGCCTAAACACATATCTTCATCCACCTTAAAATACTCTTATAAAATAAATAGAAATTGTCAGCAATACCACAATTTTTTTTTCAAAAACATAGCCAGCTAGTTTAGATGCCCCAATCACTCCAATGGATTCCTATTTGCATCATCAAAATGACTCATCATCAAAATGACTCGGTTTATCTTTCTCTAAAATATGTGCCATGGTTCTAGGATGTTTTGAATAGTACCATATACCCAAAGCAAGTCCATATCCAATTATTTGCTATGGAAAATAAACGCAACACAAAGGACGAATTTGCAATAAGGCTTAGATACTCTCCCACATTAGTAAGAAGAAGCATAGCTTCAATCTGTCAGATTAACCACCAAGATGCTGTAAGAAGATTTATTGCTACCTTATCATAATATGAAGTCAATTTTGTAAGTAGAGCTTGCTTATTTTAATAAAAAAGGCATTATTCCCTCTTTCATGAAAAAAAAGCTAGCAACTTAAGTCTGTGAAATTGTTTAGTCAATACATTTAACTGGAGAAAGCTAATTAAAAATTTAATCAACACAACATCTAAATAAAACAAGCCAATATATATATATATATATATATAATCCTATTTAGTCAGTGGATGAAGGTACTTCATAAGGTTAATAAATTAGAGTAACAGACTTTAGTTTACATGCTTAAAATTTTTAGAGTTCAGAGCAAAGAATTTTTAAGTTAGCCTGTTCTTTCAAAATTTTGATGAAAAGTGTTACAGAGCAAAAATTTCTGAAGTGTGCATACAGAAGGTAACGAAAAAAAAAAAAAACTTACCAACTGTAGTCCCAACCATGAGATTGGAAGCCTTCCACATCACAACCTGCACCGGAGGCCATCAAGACCAACTAGCTATCCCAAGAATAAAAACAAAGGATATTCATTAACCAGCATAAATTCAATAACAAGAACTAAAATATCCATCAAAAAAGAACTAGAACATCTTTCATAAAATGGAGAAATAAAAAAGCAAGGTTCTGGGTACAGATGTACTACAATCACAACAAAAAAAACAAAGTTATGAATGATTAATCTACTACATAATTGAAGCATAAAAAATTGCTACGCTTTAACTAAGAGATGTAAATCACAACCAAGGCCGAAAAAAAAAAGATTGAAAGGAGCTTGTATGATATAAACACTCTAAAACTAGATTCTCCTAAAAAAATGAAAGCCATTTAAATTTTAGCTCTACTCAAGTTAGGAAGAACATTCTAAGCTCGACCAAAGTCAAAACAATACCAATTCTAACAGCAAGTAATTAAGGATCAGTTTGTTTCTTAGAAGGTTAATGGAACTGTTGTGGACCTTGTTTCCGGACCAATTCAAATGCTATCAAAAAATATATAGATAGTTTGCATAAGATTTTTCAAAGATCAATGCAAGTAATTTCCTCAAAATTAAGCCAAAGTCACTTTTATATGTGATTCACAAACAAAGATCTATCTATTATTAATGTTTCTCATCTCCTTTTAAAAAAACAGAGGATTTGAATCTATTTAACCAAAATTTTAACTTTATATGTTCAGTTCGAAAGAAAATATGGAAAAATAATAACATATCAGCACATGATGTGGACGAAACATGGGGAACAAATAGCTATTACATGTAGCAAGCAGGCATTTTGCTTGAAATGAGGGCAGGAACCAACGCTTGAAGAGCTATTCAGCAAATGAATAGACATGGAATACAAATGAGATCATCATTAACCAAATTGGTGGAGATTGAATAACATGATCAGCAATTGCAATGGTAGTTCCACTTAGTAGTCTGCAATTCTGTTTGGCCGCAAAAGCTATTTGCATTCGACCAAAGATATAAAATTAAATCTTTTTCTTAGCATAATACCTTTGCAATACTTGCTTTCTAGCGGCAAATTTAGGCTTCGTTTAGGATGGCTTTCCTATTGCTTCTTAAAGCAGCTTTCTAGTATAAATTTATACTAGAAAGCTGCTTTAAGAAGCAGAAGCTGCCCCCAACAAATCTTTAATATTGTTAATTTTCTCCGGCACTTTTTTTCCAACCATCAAATTGTCACATGCTTTAGAAAAGCTTATATTAAATAAATAATAATCATAGCGCCTATTTGATGGAAATATGAGGATTTACACTCATTGTAAGAGAAAATCTGTCTCGTTGCTAATTTTGTGATCTTATAGATAAGCCTCTATTGGTTTCATAAGTTATTTAGACTTTTTAGTGGTATATGTGCCGGTGAAAAATGTGCCGGCAAAAAAATCCTTCGTTAAATTACCGACAAAATATTCATCGGTTAAATTTATCGGAGTATTTAAATCAGTCGGAAAGTTCAACATCAAAAGTAAAAAGAGAGTGAAGAAAATAAATTGCAAGAAAATAAAGAATATGTAAACCATATTTATAGTGGTTTGGTTGAAATCGACATACGTCTGCTCCGCATAAGTCCTCCTCTTTGGGTATTACATTAAAAGTAACTCTCCTTTAGCACACATCTAGGCGGAGATCCATTCTCCCTTAACCAGACGAGGAATGATCTTTAATTATAAACTCCGAAGAATCTCCCTCCTTCCGCCTCTTGATCCGGCGGAGATGTTTTCATTTTTTTAGCTCCTCACTTCAGTTGAGATGCCACTCCCTCATTTCGCCTCCTTAGCCCGGTAGAGAAGTTAATCCATCTTTTTGCCTCCTCGGCCAAGCGAAAATGCCAACCCTCCTTTTGCTCAACACAACGGTGGAGATATTGTCCCTCCGCTCGCCTCCACTGCCTGACGGAGATGTTGATCTCTAATCTCATTGACTGGCGAGTCTTTACCACCAAAGACTCTCCTTCTTTGATCTCCTCTCCAAGAGCTCCACAAAAAATGAATGGAAGGAAGAAAACAAATGTTCACAATTCACATATAGAGTAAATGGGTTGAGCAATATGTTGTTAATTTTCTTTTTGAAGAGCAATGGGTAAATGAAGATTAGATAGCTCATCAGTAGATGGATACTCATTTAGATCTAATAATTTAAATAGAGGCCTTGATGTAGGAGGTGGGCGATGCCATAGAGAATATATCTTTAGAGGAGGGAAGGAAGGAGATGCTGCAACTAGTGGAAGAGGAACTAGCAGTGAAGGTACCTCAAAGGAAAATGAGATCAAAAAGAAAGGAATGCTCTAATATAAGCCAAAGTATATTAGCTTCCAGTAAGACGATCACAACATTTATCTCCTTGCTAATTGAGAAAATAATCAAGAAATCTACATGGAATAGCACAAGGAAAAATATTTTCATGTGATTGAAAAACATAAGTAACGCAAAAATATTCTATGTGTAAGAGGAATATAATTTAGTCAATGTAAAGAATGGAGAGGGGAAGAGGTTATCAAAGAAATAACCACATAAAAATTTGTTAAAACGTCATCCCTCCAAAACTGATGAGGGACTTTCATATGACACATTAATTTATTGGCAACATCAAGCATATAGTGGTTTTTGGGTCACCTAATAGTGTCATGTTTATATGATAAGGACAAGAAGTTTAATGAATGATATAATTATCAATTATAGTGTGCAAAATTGAGGCTGCATAAATTTAAATGCACTAGTATTTTGTAAAAGTTTTGATAATAGCGGGAAAATGAACTTTTATTCCTTGATTAAAATTATACAATACATTAAGGACTTTTGACAGAATTTTGAGTAAGAAAAATAAAGTGACATTCGAATAATCATATATGAATATGACAAAATATCTAAATCCTACATAAGTAATGATAGAACTAGGATCCCAGATTTTAAGCGGACTAATCCAAAACGACAAGTCCGACAACTTGTAGCAAAAGAAGGAAAATGCACATGATATTGTATATCCAACTTGTAGCTCGAATAGTCAAACTTGACAAAAAATGAGAATATAGAAATGAAATCCCAGAAAATCTATTAAGAAGAGGAAGACTCAACCTACATTGATATTCATATGGAATAATAATGGAAGTGATGGCAAAAGGGAAATTGTTCATCAAGTAATAAATTCTGTCAGTTTCAGTACCTACGCCAATCATCTTTCTCAAGTTGTAATCTTGAAAGATGGAATGAGAGAGTAAAATGTTAATAAACAATTGTGATTTTTTAAGACAGCTAATAGACAATAAGCAGGCAAAAAATTCTGGTACACATAAATATTAAAAAAAATTAGAAGGATGTGTAATGCCTTTTATAGAAATAAAAGAGGGAAAACCATTAATATCAATGACAGGTAGTTACTTATCATATAAGAGGAGGTACCGAGAACAAAACCCAAGGCATACTAGTGAAAGAGTTGCAATAGATCTAGAGAAGCAGATAGCATAAGAAGCTGAGAGAGAAGTTTGAAGTAGTCAATCATAATCTTCCAAACATATATTAACAAATCAAGAGGATCGAACACCATGAAATATAGAGTTGGATCGATTATGAAAGCAAGCTTAGCAATTGGATGGCAATTGAAATTCTCCTATCAGCATTTAGGAGAATGATTATTGTAGCTATAATGAGAGCAAGAGAAACTACATTATTATGACCACGGTCAATATCTCCATGAATTCGGCTACCATTTTCATGATTTTCTCAGTTGCTCCTAGATTTGACAACCAAAGTTGATTCATTAGAAACCAAAGGTTCGAAGTTGGAGAACTTAGTAAAATGAAGAACCTGGAAGAGAGTGATCACAATTTTGGAGATTGTAGAGTTTACCATCAATTGAGATTGCACACCTAAAGGGAAGGATGCAACTCATGCAAGTCTAAGATGAATTTGGCTATATAACATATTCATTCTATTTTTGACAAAATAGTCAAATCAACAATGAAGGGCAATATTGAAGTAACTCGTCACATTTTTCTCTCAGCGTGTTATAATACTCCTAATTAAGAGTGCATGGCAAGCTTTACTAGGAGGAGATAGCAGGAAAAAGTGTTGGAGGGTGTGGATCAAGCAATGGGAGATGAACAGGAATAAAAGACAATAAGCACAACAAGCGGGGATGGCTAACAGCAAGAGAGTAAGTCAGGTAGCACTAGGGTAGCATAGGTGCAATCTTTAGGGATTGCGTGAGAGAGGCATTGAAGAGCAAGTGAGAGGAGTAAACGAACAAGCGAGCGAGGAACAAACGGGATAGTGGGACCGACTATTGGGTGCAAGAGAAAGCAAGGGTGTGAGGACGAGCAGAAAGCGGATAACATTGAGTAGGGTATAGGATTGGAAATTATAATGGATGAAGGGAGACAGATATAACAACTACAACAATAACAAGCCTTTATCCCACTACGTAAAGTCAACTACATGAATCTCTTTTCTCCATTGTATTTTATTAAGAGTCAAATTCACATTTAAATCTAATAAAAAAAATCATTTTTAATACTTTCTAATCAAGTCTTTTCAAGTCTACCTCTATCTTTCTTAACATAGACTGGATCTAACGCATCTACTTTCCTAACAGGGTCATCGGAAGGCCAACAATTTATGTGACCAAATCATCTAAGGCGACTAGCTCTAATCTTATCTTCCACTGGAGCTACTACAACCATTTCACGTATATATTCATTTCGCATTCTATCTCTAAGTGCAAAATCACTCATCCATCTAAGCATGTCATCTCTACAACACTTTAACTTGATTTTATGCTTCTCTTCTAATAAGGAAAATATTCTGCGCCATAAAGTAGTGCAACTCTCACCATCATCTTATATAATTTTCTTTTAAGTTTGATGGGTTATCATACAGCAAGCCCAATGCATTCCTCCACTTCAACCATCCAACTTAAATTCTACTAATAATATCCTCATCAATTTCACCATCACTTTGAACAATAGACTCGAGATATCTAAGACTTGTACCTTTTTTAATGACTTGATCACCCAATATCACAATCCTATCACTAGATCTATTACAACTAAAATCCCTGAATTCGGTTTTAGATCGACTCAAACAAAAACCTTTAGACATTGGAAAGATTTTCTATACTAACTAACAAAGTGAAACAAGGCAACAAGCTATCGAAAATCATAAATCAATGGTCGTGTGACCCGTTAATTTTGAAAGCCATGTGATTTTGATAAAATCCTATGTGTGCCCGTAATTTTAATAGAATGAAAATAATCAAACCCTAAAACATTGTTGGAGATTATGAGAAGGGGATATAATACACACCTAAACGAACCGATAGAAAATTTTTTGAGAGGAATCTCACTGTCCGTCGTCGTCGAAGAAGCTGCTACCGTCCGCCGTGTAGTAGCAGTATGGCGAACAGGCGGCAACAGCGTGAAGGAACCGAACCAGGGCAGGTTGGCGTTGAAGGCGATTCCTCTGCGAGACCGGAAATGAGAGAGGCGGTTGCTATGCGAGAGTTGGCTAGTGAGGCGATGGCGCGGAAGCTAGGTTTCGTTTTTTAGTTCAGGGCCTTCAGGCATAGAGGATTCAAAAAATGTGCCGTCAACGCCACTTTTATTTTTCTGACAGTAGATAAGAATAAGATTTAATTTATATCAAGAAAAATATTTTAGAAACATTTTTTGGTTTGCAGCTGGGAGCTGCATCTTCTTACCATGGGAATGCAATTTCGGCAGGCATTGCTTGGCTGCAGGTTATTTTTTAAAATATATTAATTTGACTATAAATTTAATATTTTAAATTCATCTTAAAACAAAAATGCACCATTTTTTTTTAACGTCAGTGCAACATCCCATTTCATAATTTTTTTGAATTTGAATGATATAGTTATTTTTACAGCAGCTTTCAGAAAAGTCACTTTCCCCACAATAGTTTTACAATCACTTTTACGAAAAGCTACAACCTTTTCAAATAGGAGAAATTATTACGTGCAATCAAAGGACCGTCCAGAGACAAATCAGGATGCGTTATGTCACTCGGTGCACAACAAAATGGTGACATGATGCTTTATAATTCGTTTTCGGACGGCGTCCGGTGACCACACGTAATAATTTCTCCCCAAATAGACATTTAGTTACTCAATTCATCATATGCTCATTCATCAACTCCATCCCGAATTTTTAAAATATTGTATTGTAAATTAAATTATAATCATTGAATAGATTACAAGAGATGAATACACTTCTAATTTTGTATTTTATGAGAAGTTCAATAACTTTCATATAATATTTTTACTATTTACTATATAATTGTCCATTATAAAATAAAAATTTATATGGATATATAGTTATGGATATAGACAACAACATCAATTTATATGATATTTTATTATGCATATTTATAGACTTGCACACATTTGAATTACTTTTTAACTGCACACTAATTTTTTAGTCCTATATTGAAAATGATTTCTACATACAGCTATTATTTTGCAACCTAATTGAATTTAGATGTTGACTTTATGTATGAATTTTTTTTTTCAAGCCCACCGTAGCAGACTAGCAGTAGTTGCAGGGTGGTATAATCAGCACCAACTAGTAAAGAAATGGTTTCATCAGGCGCAGCTATGCTAGGGTTTTTTTCCCTCCATGGCGACTTCTGCTTCCTGCCGTGAGTGCATTCCGGTGATGCGTCTCTGGTCAGGGAAGTGGCCGGTTTTCCGCTTCTTTTTTGTGCTTCATTTTTTTATTTATGTGCTTTCTCATGTATTTTCTTTTCAATGGCTGGTTCATGTTTGGTAGATGTCGGTTTTCTTAAGGGCAAATCTTCTAAGTCCTTACGTGATGTGCTTTCGGGGAGCATTTCTTCCTTCCTTGATTTGAAAATCTCTTCCCATCAGGGGATGCCTTCTTTGTGGATTTCTGAGGCTAAGATTCATGCACTTGCTAAACTATTTGATTTTGCCTTGGTTGGGAAATTTCGGTCCCATCGCCCGTCCCTTGATGTTATTCGAAAGTTTTTTTTTTTTTTTTCAATCTTAAGCTTAACGGTGAGTTCTTTGTTAATGTGCTTAATTTGAAGAATGTTCTTATAAAATTAGCGAACGATTTATATTATTATCATATCTTTGTGCATCGTTCCTATTTTATTAATAATTGTTATATGGGTTTGATCAAATGGTCGCCTTCATTTGATGTGGATGTTGAATCTCCTATTATCCCTATCTGGCTGTCTTTCCCGAATTAGTGCCCTCACCTGTTCTCTCCAAGGATCCTTCAGGGGCTTGATTTCATTTTTGGCTGCCCTCTTAAAATCGATCATGCTACTTCAGTTGGTTATAGACCCTCTGTTACTCGTGTGTTGATAGAATTGGATGTTTCTAAAAAGTTTTCAAAAAATGTTTGGATTGGGACGGATAATCTGGGGTATGTCCAGTCGGTTATCTTTGAAGATGTACTGTTATATTGTGCTCATTGCAATTCTTTAGGTCATTCCATTTCAGAATGTTTAACCCTGCACCTAAATTTGGCCAAAGGGTCTTCGTCTTGTTTGATTAATCTTATTGCTTTTGACCAGGCTAATAACATAGTTCCTCTAATTGGGGTGGATCAGGAGGTAAACCTTGGTCTTGCTCCCTTGGTTGGTACTCCTATTGAGTCTCTTGTTTCCCTGGGCGTTGGCTGTCACGAGGTTGTTGTGACTGATGTTGGCACTCTTATTAATTTAGTTGGGGTAGATCCTGTTGTTGCGGATGTTAATATTCCCTCTGCTGGTTTGGAGGGGAACCTTCCATTTAATGTCCCTGGTCTAGTTGTTGTGGTTGGATTGGAACCTAAGTCATATGCTTCTCGGTTGATTGCTGGTGATTTGGGATATTTAAATTATGTTTTTAATTTCAAAGCTAGTTTGTCGGGTGTTGAGGAAGTGGCTAAGGCATGCATTTTGGTGGACTTGGATGTTAATACTGAGGAGGTGATGCCTTCTGGGCCTGTTTCTTCCTATGTAGAGTTGGCGAGCTGTGGTGCTTCCTCTCCCATTAGCTCTAATGCTAGGCTTTCCCCTATTTATTTACCTTCCTCTGTAATGGTTTCTCTGGTTAATGGTTTACCTTAAGCTTCCTCTTCCCCTAAGTCTCAGGATGATACTTCTTTTGTTAATGTCCCTATCGTTGTGATGTCTAATGATGATTTAAAGACTCATGTGGCTAAGTTTAGGAACAACTTGGTTCGGTTGCAAATGGATTGGTTAATTTTGGATGATTCTTCTTATTCTCATTATGAGGGGGAGAACGTGAAATTTCAAGAAGAGTTTATGGCTTCTCGCTTTGTTGAGAAATTTCGTACCAATGGGGTTAGTAAACAGAGCAAAAGTAAAGGCAAAAAGTAATTGGTTCTTGCTCTCAATTTTTTGTTTCAACTGCGTCTTGTGGTGTGTGTTTTGGACGATGATGATGAAGCCCTCAGCTTCCCTCTTGTTGGTTGGCCTTGTTGGCAACCTGTGTGCTTTGGCTCAGTGTCTTTTGTAGCTGCTTACCATGGATGGTCCTTGGCTAGCCTGGAGTTGGTACTGGGGGCTTCTCCTGAGTCTACTTCTGTTTTTCACACTACTGTGTGTTTTTTTGTATTGGCTAGCCTGTTGATGTTTTTTTGGTAAAAAAAAATGTATTAATATTTTTTTTAGATTAATTTGCAAGAGCCTTAGTATATATGTTACTAATGATAATATTGTTATAAGAAAGTTAAGTATATGAAGGGAGTATAATATAATGAGTTGGGCAATTCTTTTGAATCCCACCAAATTTCTTGGTTACAAACATTACTTTCTTGCAATTTATTTTCCTCACTCTGATGTTACTTTTGATTATTTTTGTTGAAGATTTTTTGAGTTTATGTTTGGTTATATAATATTAAATTTCTAAATCACATAGAAATGTTATTAATATGATTTTTTAAAGAAGATATGCTCATTTTCATGTATATATTTGATGTGATAAAGTAAAATTAAAATAAATATAAAAATTGAGATGTTGAATATATAAATGCATAAAACTTTTGTGGGCATTCGATAGATAAAATAGTGTTTAATATACATTTTTTTAACGTGATAGAACACAGAACAACCTCATCAGAACAAATAGTAATAAGTTCATCGGAAAATGATAGAACTTAATCTTACTCAATTAGGTTCTCATAAATTTTCATTTTTTTAACATTCACATAAAATGCTTAGATGCAAAGATAGAAATTAACATAACTTCAATTTTTTTTAATAAATTCGTTCGCTAAGCCCACAAGTAATTAAGAAACTAATTAAGAACTCCCAGCAATGGGCATACAAGAGCAACTTTATATCTATAAAGTTGACAAACAAACCACCTCACTTAAATACTTAGCAATGCAAGCTCATGATCTTCTGCACCACCGCCGCCCTTCACTGCTTCTGCAATGCAAGACCTTGCGCCCCCATCTCCTCCTCCACTGCCACCGCCGCTGGCCACTCTCGGCCTCATCAGTGAAAACCTTGGAAACGGAAGACTACTGGGAGGCGGTGGAGAAATAAAAGACTCCACGCTCCGCTCTTCATTTGCCATCACCTTATTCGTCCCCGCGGCCACGTTTTTCTTCCTCCCTTTCCGCTTCGTCTGAGTTCGCTGCAATCTCCTTGCCGCTGAGCTTGGCAAGGGGAGGAGAGGCGGGACATGATGCTGTGGAAGAGGAAGGAGAGGTGAAGAAGGTGAGTGGTGAAGTGAAGAGCTGAGGAGGAGATGGCTTAGGTAAGCTATAGATGTTTGAGGAAGAGGGGAGGGAGAAGGTGGAGGAGAATTTGGTGATCGGAAGAGAAGACTCCCATAGCTTTTGCTGCTATAGTTGACGACGACTTGGTTCTTATTAGTGTTCATGGAAGAAGAATATCAAAAAGGAGGAGGTGATTATTGTCTTAAATTCGAAAAATAAGATTGCGCTGTTTTTACTTTTTACAGCTGATATAAGGAAAAAGAGAAGGAAATGAAGGATTTACAGAGGAAATAAGAAAAAAAATGATATTTCGAGTCGATCAGACGCTCTGCATCTCTTCTATATTCTTGCTGTAATGGAGGTGGCGATTTTGAGGAGGATGGTTTATATAGAGAAGATAAGGGGAGGAGATATTATAGGTGGATTCTGTAATTTTATAATTGTGTGGCGGTGATGAGTAAGTTCAACCGACAAGGCGACTACTGCAGCCCAAGGCAAAAGGGTACTGTAGGGCGGCAACCGCCAAATTGATGGGAGCCGTCTGATTGGAGATGCGTTCTTGACTGCAGATGAAAATCGGACCGTTCATTTTATTCTCGGGTTTCCACCAATTGAGACGCAGAAAGTGATTGAGATTTGGGAATGCTCTAGGAGGTTTCCTTTAGTTTAGGGCAAAGCTATATATATATAATTTGAAATGTTTTATATCATTTTGTAAAAGTGATTATGAAATTGTGAGAAAAAAATATTTTTTTTGGAAGCTACTGTGGATATTATAAGGATTTGTTTTGAACAAATGTCTTACCGATTTGTTTTTCATGTTGTAACCATACATTTTATTTGGTCGTTGTTTTTTCGATGCTTTTAGGAAATTTTT